GGCTGCGCCGAGCCGGGAACGTCCCACCGCCGGGCGGGGCTGGGGGCGCCGGCTGGGGCCATGCGCGGGCCCCTCTCTTCGTGGTTTAACCTGGGTCAAGAGCGCAAGGCCCCTGGGGGATGAAGGCTGCAGCCCCCGACGCCAAGCGGGCACCGATGGTCACTGGGGACAGGCAACTTCTCTCTCTGGAAGATCTGCCACTTTCCTAAGCCCCCAGCAGGTCTTCTGCCCCGGCGGCCCCCATCGCACGCCCCGCTAGCTCAGCACGATGCTCAAGGCAGGTCGCCTCTGGGCCTTTGCACAGTACGTCCGGCTGTCGCTGGGACTGCCCACTCTGTACTGGTCCTGGATTCTCCCGGGCACAGAATTGTGCTCCACAGTTGCCCGCCGCACGCGGCGTCTGCAGCGCAACCTGAACTGCCTGGGGCTGAGGAGCGACCCCTCCTGCAAGGACTCTTCGCTCGGCCTGCGCAGCCGAGCCGGCTCCGCGCTGGTCACAGGCGGTTGCCGCCAGGCGGCGCGCGCCCCCGCTGACCTCCCTCCTGCCGTGGTCCCAGGTCGGTGCGTTCTCTCCCTCCGATGCCCCGGCTGTGAGACCCAGCCCAGCCCTGCGCAGTTCGTGCTGAGAGCTGGTGAGACTTCATGAGCTCATCAACTCAGATCGCTAACGCTTGAGAAGCCGGACCGCGATTAACACGCAAGCCCAGCGCTTCTTAGGAGCATTTGGCGAAGGCCTTTCCTGCCGCCCGAAGCAGGAGGGGGCTGTTATGAAGCATACTTTTAAGAGCTGGTATGCAAAGCCCACCCTGACCTGGGCGGGAGAGCATGCACCCACCAGGCACACCCCGGGACACCCCGGGACTCGCCAGGCGCGGCTCGCTCTCCTCCCCCGGGGCTGGTCCTCTGCCCTCCCTCCCGCCGTAGACTAAAGCACCGGAGTGCTTCCAGTTTGAGTCTAGGGTGGTTCCCTCCTTCTCCCAATTTGCTCGATTTCCTCCTGGCCTGGCATGATTTCTTTTAGATCCGGGCATATGCTAATTTACATAGCTGGCATCACCGTATTTTCCTCCACACCAACCGCTTTTCAATTAGCAAGTTTCTCTCTCTCTTTGATGCAAGAGTACTGGCAAGATTTTGTTTTTTCTCACCTACAGTCAGAAAGCTCTGCAGATCAGAAGCCTGCTACTATTTCGCTTAAGCCGTTAATTCATGCGCATACATTTATACATGCAGACACCCATGATGTGTCTTGATCTTGGTGGCCACGGTTAGACTGAGAGACTGGGGCAGGGGTCTTCAGGTGAGCTAGTGCGGACCCCTTGAGGGTCCTGTTTGAAGAGGAGTCTTTCGGCCTTTCTTAGTGCCTGGCCGGCAGGCTGCTCTCAACAAAAGCAAAGTGCTATGTGCGCTGAGCCCAGGCTCCTGGGAAGGTAGGGAGCTGTGACGTGCGGATGCTTCAGCAGGTGTTTGGGGGGAGTCTCACCCACTCCCACACAGCTCTGTCCTTGGAATGGTTCTGCTAAAGTCAGCTTTTGTCAACTGGCGATGTTTATTCCCTCCCGGGCTTCCCAGTTTCTTGAGAGCAGGATGCCCTGGGCGACTGCTTGGCTCTGAACAGGAGCGGGGACATCACAAGCATGCTCACTCAGAGAACCTCAGAGTAGCCCGAACTCCTCGGCCGCTTCCTGCCACAGCTTGACTGCGTTCACTTATCACAGCTTCGAGCCCCTTTCTGTACCTCACTGTGTGCCGAGTTCTGGGACCCGGCAGAGGACAACACAGATGCCACTTCCACTAGCTAATCGATGGACACCAAGGGGACCTGGGAGATGGGCTTAGCCCCTGCTTTGGGCTCTTGTTCCAATCAGATTCATTTCAAGGTTTCTCCACACACTGCACTCAACCCAGGAAGAACCGGATGCCCCTGTAGACAGCAGAGCGCCTCCTGGTGGATGCTCTCATTCCAAAGGCTATTTAAGTGGACTCTTTTAAAGCAGGAAGCACTTTCTCCTTGAAGACCAGAGATCAGGGGGCCGCCCGTCTGCCAGGTAAACCTGTTCTGTGGTGGGCAGGGGTACTTACCTGTCAGTGCCTCCAGGGATCCGCCCTGGGCTGGCACCCCATTAACTCAGGCCCTTTATCTCCCTGTAAAAATCAGTGAGAAATTTTCCTTGTAAAGGGTTTTATACACAATCCAGCCTCAAGTTCATGTAACCAGTAAAAACAACCTTAAGTCCGTCCATATTATTCAGGCAAAAGCAGCAGAAATTCCCAGCTAATCTGTGACAGACTGAGGAAAGATGAGACCCACTCCAGGGAAACGTGCGAATTATCCCCCCATGCTAATGAGTTCTGCATTGTTTATTATCTTCAGGAAAAAAGGAATGTGGGGTGTCAGGGAGAGATCAATGAAATAAGATTTTGCAGCTTGTAGAAGGTTTTTTTAAAAAAGTTTTTACTCTTTTTCTAAGTAAAACATAATAGATCCCCCCCCCCAAAAAGGGAGAGACAAAGATGAAGATGTTTCCTTCCAGGCCTGCAGAGTTAAACAATCCCCAGGGAACAGGAGGGAGGCAGGGGACCGCGATGTCTGCTCAGCAGGGCCCTGCCCCGCCCACCCACTCACACCGTCAGAACAGCTTTCCAAAACACACGCTGATGCAACTGGGTCCTTCCTCGCTGAAGACTCGCCAAGTGTGAGCGATGAGGCCCTGGGTGAAAGCCACGGACGAGAGCCACGGCGCGGGAGGCTGGTGTCTTCAGGGGGAGGAGCTGACAGCTTGACACCCGACTCAGCGCAGGGCGAGAGGAGCGGGGGTAAGAGTCACTTCCCAAGTTGTCCTAAGCCTGGGAGCCGGCAGCTGGGCATCGCTTCCCAGAGACGAGGACGAGCAACAGAGGAGAGAGGTCGCCCTCAACGGGATGACTTTCAAGGTGCCGAGGGACACCTGGAAACCCCATCTGTGCCACGGTTGGCAATTCCAATCTGGAGTCAGGAGCGAAGTCTTGGATGGAGGCACAACTGGAATTAGCACCAGAATGGAGAGGGACGGCTGTATGTGATGGGGTCACCCCAGGAGGGCACAGAGTAGGGGAGGAGAGGCCAGGGGCTCAAGTGTGGGGACTCACACTCCCCAGGGAACCTGGAGGTAGACAGAGGCAGGCGGCGGCAGAAAGCCACCTGGATGGCCAATGTGCGCTTGATTGTTGAAGGGTGTTATCACTGACTTTGTCATAAACGCAGTACGCAGAATATCTGGAAAACATAGAAAAGCATCGTGCATCAAGCCCACTCAGAGAAAAGAATTCGACCCTTTCGCTGACCTCTCCTTCATGGTAGTTTCTCTATGCATCTCTCTCTATATAATGTGATGTGTATATTGTATATATATTATAGAGAGAGCATCTTATATTATTGCACTTGATATTAAATTGCATTTTATAATAAAGAGTTTTAAACCTTATTTTTCACTCAGCATCATAGCATGAGTGGCTCCCCACACTGTTAAAAAGCCCCGGAGGGCCCCCCCTCCATCAACAGCAGAGCAGACAGCTCACTGAGCGCGTGCAGGAGTGGAGGCGCGTCTGCCCCAGGTGGGAAGAGGCAGCCGATGTGGACCGCAGTGCCTCTCACCCAACAGCCTGTCCACGTTTTGTAGCAATAAAGAACCACCTGTCTACCTGCCTAGCTTGCTGCCTGTCCATCTATCTAGAATGTATACCGAATGTCCCAACTCCTGGAGTGCATGGAGACTGTGTGGGGCAGTGAGGCCCCTGAAAACCAGACACCCCAGGAAGATACTCGAAGCTTGACTCCGAGGATGCCCAGGACAGAGCAGAAGCCCCCGTCTCTCCCCAGAGCACTTCTCGAGGGCCACACTGATCCTGGGTCATTGCGTGCCTCAGGTCAGCTCAGTGGAGAGGCCCTGGGGGTCAGGAACCACATGTCCCTCCCTCTTCTTTCCACACCGCCCAGTAAGCAATCAGTAGTGCCCAGTGACTAGAACAGAGGACCCCTCGTGCTGGATTGAAGCCCAGCCCGGGATCAACCAGAGGTTTATTACTGAACCCCCAGTGGGTGCAAAGGACAGGCAGCTGTATGATGACCACGTCCCGCCCAACAGACAGGAGCGCAGCCAGGGCTTTGAAGGTTGTGACCTGCACAAAG